TATCATTGCAGAAAAGATTGTGTGTGTCATTCATCGTGTTGTTGAAGTCGTTATTCTACATAGTCCATTCTGCTCTTATGTGCTCTCTTCTCCTCACTTGCTTTTGATCTTGATTACTAAATTAATTATCCATCTCTTTAGTGGTTGCAAAGTGTGCTCTTAAAATTTGAGAAAGCATATGGTCTTCTTGTTTGTTGTAGAAGTCTCGGAACACAGGAGCGAATCTCAGAGGTTCGACATACAAAGTGGGTGAAACTTCCGTTATCCACCTCGTAACCCCCACTGAATGAGCTTTCATTCTTCTTTGAAACTCTGAAGCTTCTTGACCTTGTATTTGCGCTGGTTGTTGTTGCACTTGAGGTTGGTAGAGTACTTTGTCATTTCCTTCCGGATTATGTTTTTGATCATGTTAAGCAGATTCTGTCAGGTTATCCTTTGTCATTTCCCAAGCCCCATAAATTTGGCAGAATTCAGTGATTTTGAGTCGCAGCGCTAAGCCATGCTCAACCACTCATTCTGCCCCTGACCTACAAAAAGTGTCAATCATCTTTTAGGGCATAATCATGTTTATTACCTTGTGCTCATTTCTATAGTTCCTAAGAGCACATACAGAAGGATGTTTAAGATTAAAGAGATTGTTAATAGCATTAGAGGAATAATCAACATACTTACCTCGTACATAAGAAGTGTAGGTGTCAACCTCGCTAAATGCCACAATTGCATAAAATTCTAGGCCTGTGTTTTTATTTTCTTCTCTAATCAAATTGTTGAAACTTACCAAATGCCTTTGTTGCAGCATCTTTGTCACCTCTTAAAAGCCTTGTAGATTTTTGCATATGAATGCTCTCTCCCTCACAATATGGTAATCAACCAACTTGAGGTACTTTTTCGCATTAGCCTTTGAATGAAATTTGAGATCAGGGAAGGTTAGAACATTAGGAGCGGGGGAAGCTCTTGAAGATGAACCTCTTGTCATTATTCCTCTTTTTGAAGCCATTTGTACCTACAACAAATTAACGGAATAACACTGCACAGAGAAAAAAATTAAGCTGAGAGTATGCTCAGAGGAATTTTTGTGAAGAATGAGAAAAATGAGAGTTTTGAGGAAAGATATTTCAAAAATATCTATTTATATGCCACATATATGTTTCCATCGCGCGTAATATACATCTATCGCACATGCGATGGTAAACGTCTTACCAATGTCTCTCAGCAACATCTATATCATGTGTGTTATGCTTCCATCACGTGTAATGATAACGGTATTCATATTTTCACCAACGTCTCTGTCACGCGCAATGCAAATTACAATACCAAATACAAATAAGATTGTTCCATAAGAAATCCCTTGAAGAATTGGCCTCCAATGGCTTCAAATGCTCTCCAAATATGCCCTCTGATGCTGTAAACCCTTCCTTCGCGTGTAAAATTTCAGAACCCTTGAAATAATACCAAATTTCCCCTTTTAAAGCCTTCAAAATGAACAAGAATGCGTCAAAAAAATCCAGAAAAAGTTCATTGCGCATGTGATAACCTGCAACGCACGCACGATGCAGGCTTTGCTTTTCTATCATGCATACGATGTTGCATGTGATTATTCTAGTAGATGCACGCTTATGCTCCACTTTTCACCTGATTTTTAATAAGTCCCTATTTCTCTATACTTAGTCATTTTTTCTTCTTTCTTTGGCATTTATTCTTCATTTTTGCTCCTCTTTAACTTGTTTTGATCTGTTTCTTCTACCAAAAGTATGCAATGGAAAAGTGTTATCACTGTCATAGGATATGATGTTGTTGGAAATAAAAGAGCATCTATTAGGTGTACTCTTTCTGTCACACTTGTGACTTAACATGATGAACTCCTTGTCTGTCACAAAGACTTCCTTCAGTAGCTATAACGTTTCTTTGAATGACAAAACTCTTTTTGTCGTCTCATTTTCAAGACATATCCTTTTGTGGTATAACCACATCCTTTTTAATAGACTTTCTTCAACTAAGAAAGGCACATTGAGTGTAAGAATATCTTTGTCATTTAACCTTCTCTGGATGTTGGACCTTCTGACTAAGGCATTTACTTTAGCATCTAGTTTAGGCATTCAGGTTTCTTCACAATTATCAATAACAGTTTTCTCATTCTCCCTCTGAGCAGGAAACTTAGTTAGCACCATGCCTTTATCTTTAAAAATCAGCACATGTCTTTACAATTATTGTGTCAGTGGTGATAGGTGGTTTCAAAGACAGAATAGTAGTGATTTATTATTCTAAGTAAGAAAATGGTTTTATAAAATTAAATAATTGAAAATAAATGACAGAAAGTAAAGTTGGAGATTTCGAGAAGGCTTGTTAGGGGTACATTTCGTCATTACGTATCTATCATGCACATCTATAGGTCAGTAATATGCTCCTTTAGTCAATGTATAATACTACCACTTGTTATGCTCATTCATATCTCATTTCGGTCTCCGCACTATTAGATCAGTGTATTATTCAATAGAACGATATATGTTACTATTAACCATCATAGAGCATTATGTCCCAACAGTCGTAAAGTAGCAAGATTCCACACCGATCATGCTACAATCAATACATGTGGATATTGAGCTTATACCTATGTCTAGGCTTAGTTCCTAATAGATGATTATCTTGGATTTTGTGATGACAAGCACCTTTCGATGTCATGTCACACCATGAAAACATATTTTAGGTTGCAAGGCTAAAACAAACATTAAGATTAAAGAGTCACTAATATTATAGCATGAGCAGATTTAAATAGAATGTCATAACCTATTTAGTACATGAATATAATGATTACATTAAAACCCAACAATATAAATTGTATTTATTACGCTTACGCTTGATTAGCATAACAAATTGCCTTTTCAGAGAAGTTGACTTTATAAATGGGATTTGCCCTGTAACTTGAGTAGCACTTCCGCCTTTAGAGTTTCTTTCTTATCCTCTTATTATATACCAGGGTGAACCTACTCTAATTTTTGTACTCCTCTGATCTAATGAAACTCCCTTTGCACTAAAATAAAAAATTATATTTAGAGGCAAAGTTTTGAGGCTTTAGTTGGGTGCACCATGCTTACGCCCAACACGCCTACTCTGCTCTGACCAACTTGCTTTCTTCTTCAACAAGCAACGTTTGCATGTCTTCCTGTGTCCATGGCCGCCTTTTCTCACCTCGCACACCACCCATTTGACTAGCATGTTAACCCTTGCTTCACCATAAAATACTTGCTCTTGGTGCTGCCACCTAGCTCTACTCTATGCCCAGTGCACCTATAGATGGGAAATGGCGAGCTTTGCTTCTTCAGGGTTCTGCTTTTTCTTGTTTTCTTCGAGTTGATTCGTTATTTTCCAGATCTTTTCACCTGTTACTATTAAATGCATGCAAGAAAATTCTAACAGACATTTCTTTACTTTTTATAGATAAATTAGGACTTTTGTAATGATTGTTTGTGAAATAAGCTAATAAGTGTTGGTGTTTAGAACGTAAATGTGACACTTATAAGTATCCTTGACACAAACCCTTCTCCCAAACTAAACTCCTATGTAAGATAACACCATTGACTAAAACTAACATTGTTGGAATACTTATGCATTTCATCCACTTCCTTTATTTAATCAAGAACCCAATTTAAGACATCACAATATCCAAATACTTTCATTTAACTAAAATATGTGTCTTTTTAATATCCACTTTAACAATAATCAATTTTTTTAAAAATTTTCTTAACATCATGCCCATCTCATTTAACACAAGGCTTCCATCTACAATGTGCCTTTCCTTTACAAAATTGTATTGAGTCTTTGAAATATCCTTTCAGTTAATAATTTTAATCTATTCTCCAAAACTCTATCCAACAGTTTATACATGCGCCCCATTATCGATAGGGACCTAAAGTCGTCCATTTATTCTAAGTTAACCATTTTAGGAATTAACGCAATAAAGGTAAAATCGAAACTTGAAATTCGAATAAAACTCTAACAAAAACCTCATAAAATCACCTTTAATTTTAAGCGAAGAATATTTAAGAAAAAAAATCACTCTATTAAAATTCATTTTTAACATAAATCATATAAAATTACTTCTTATCAATAATAAACTGTATTCAATGTACGTCACGTATTTTCCTCTAAAGATAATTAGATTTTACGTATATTATTTTAAAAGGAATACAATATTCTTTAAAAAAAATAGTTTCTTTATTCCTCTGTTTTCTATATATTAATTAACATAAAAGAATAATATGGCTCTCTCAATTCAATGTACATATATAATAAAGAATATATCTTTGACAAAAAATATTTCTAAAAATATTTTTAAAAAATTATAAATATATTTTTTCATACATTGAACATAATGCTATCATTTAGATATATACTACATTTATTTTTATAACAAATGTCATTTTCCTTATTTCACATGTATTAAAATATAATTCTAAATAGAAGAGAGTAATAATTTATTAAATAGTTAAATTCAATGATTTTAACAAAAAAAAATTAATTCAATTAAGAATAATATTACAAGATATAGAATAATAATTAAATAGAAGAAAGAGAATAATATTAATCATCTTTGAAAACCAACTCCATAATAATAATAATAATAATAATTATTATTATTATTATTATTATTATTATTATTATTATTATTATTATTTTATACAATTGATCAATTCAAATTTAGTTTATTTATATACTCATTTATATATTATCATTATATATATATATATATATATATATATATATATATATATATATATATATATATATATATATATATATATATATATATATATATATATATATATATATATATATATATATATATATATATATATATATATATATATATATATATATATATATATATATATATATATATATATATATATATATATATATATATATATATAGTTTAATATTGGGTGAGAAGAATACAATTCACATAACAAAACATAGTGCAAAAGAAAAAAGAAGAAAGAAAAATGGATAATGAGAGTGGAGTTCCGATTTTAGATTTTCGTAAGAGCAATGGAATTATATTAGAAGAAGGAAGTGAGGGATGGAAAGAAATGAGTAAGAAAGTGAGAGAAGCATTTGAGAGTCACGGTATGTTTCTCTTAAGGTGTGATGAAATACCGAAAGAATTACAAAACGGAATGTTCACAGGCATTAAATCTTTGTTTGATCTACCGGAGGAGACAAAGTCCAAGTTCACTGGCAAAAGAGTTTATAGGGGATATTCGTCCAAGAGCCCTGCCCTTCCTAATAGTCAAACTTTCGGTATTGATGATACTTTTGATCCAAATGAGACTCAAAGCTTCACTAACCTCATGTGGCCTGAAGGAAATCCAAATTTCTGGTAAATAATTATTTTACTTTATTAATTTTCTAGTTTACTTTAATAATTTTTTAAAAAATATTTTATTATTTTGTAATAAAATCAAGCATAATATAATATATTATGTATATGTAGTGAGGCACTAATTTCGTTTAGCTCAGAAGCACGAGAACTAAGCTCAATCATCTTAAAGATGGTTGTGGAGGGTTTTGGCCTTCCAGCAAAGTATTTTTTAGAAATTGAAGAGTTATGTAAAGGTAATGATACACGACTGACTAAGTACCCACTTCCTAAAGAAACAAATGATTTTGCGGTTACTTTTGTGCCTCACACAGACAGATCCAGTCTTACCTTTATAAGTGAGAATGAAATCCAAGGTCTACAGCTGCTACAAAAATCAGGCAATTGGGTTAATGTAAATGTTCCTCCAAATGGTTTTATTGTAATGGTTGGTGACATATTGCAGGTAATATATAACTATAACTAGGGTTAATACTTTTTTTTTGTCTCGTATGTTGATGTTGGAGTTTATTTTGGTCATTTAACTTATAAATAAGGTTTATATTAGTCTTTTAACTCTTTAAAATGTAACATACAGTACTAAAAAGGATATTAAACCTATATAACTATATTTTTTATGAATAATAAAATCAAGTTATTTTCTTGATGATTATAATTATTAATATATAGGCATGGAGCAATGGGAGATTTGAAGCACCAATACATAGAGTGGCGATAAAAGGAAACAAAGACAGATATGTATTTATTCTTTTTTCATTTCCAAAGGAAGAAACATTCATTAAGGTTCCCACTGAGTTGGTAGATGAAGAAGATCACCCTCTCCGTTACAAGATATTCTCGTATGAAGACTACATTAACTTTATTAAAACCGTTGGCACTAAATTGGGAGCACTTGAAGAATTTGTTGGAATTTGATATCTCATTATGAGATGCAGGCAATACTCCTTTATGTTATAATAATGTAGAGTATTTGGACTCTCACCTTTTTCAAAAAATTAGATCAATCAAATAAAATGTATTGCCTTATTTGTTTCTCATATAATGCAAAAATAATTTATGTTCTTATATAAGTTGCACTTTTATCCTATTTTATATATTTCATATATTGCTTTCTTAATTTTATTTAATGCAAAAATAGTTTATATTCATGTATGTATTGACTTTTTATTATCACAGTGCAAAAACTACTCGAGCGCACGAACACTTGAAATAACAACAAAGTCACCACCAAAGTTTATTTTTTAAAGGGAAATATCAATAAAACCCTAAAGGAACGAAAATACAGTCGTCGTAACCAAATTTAGGTTCAGGAGTTGGTTATGCACGGGGTAGGTATTAGCACCCCACACATCCGTTGTACTAAACAAAAATCATTTACTAAGCTTTGTGAATAGGAGTGTTAGTGTAATGTTTATGATTTATTCTAATTATTATGGGATATCTCCAAGTGCGATAGGGAATTTAAAGCTACGTAGTTCTTAGTAGCAAATGAGTGTTTATTGGTTGATTTCAACGAATGATGCTTATGTCGCATTCTAGTAGTTAAACATTGTTTTATGTTCGCGCGTGGGAGGCTTAAGCATTTGTTGGTATTGTGTTAGAATAGATAAAACATCATTCGTTTATGAAAATTTTTACAGTCACACATGGGAGAAAAATGTAGGTTTGATGTGCATCCCCCATTCCCTTTTCATCCAAGTTCGAAAATTTGAAAGTTATTGGCAGAAGACGAATATTCAAAGCAGTGAGGCGAACACCCCCGCTTGTTTATTCGAAGAGCTGAAGGATGTGCATCCTCCATTCCTTTTTTAATCAAGTTTGATTAAAATGTTTTATTCAAAAGACGAATATTCAAACAATGAAGCGTGTGCTAACCACTCGTTTATTCGAGGAGCATAAGAATGTGCATCCCCCATTACCTTTTCAACCGGTTTTATTGAAAAAAATATTTTGAAAAAAAAATTCAAAAGTAATTGATTTAATTGGGAAAAATGGTTTTATTTGTGTAGATTCGGAAGACGAATAGTCGAGTAATGAAGTATACGCCAACCACTCGTTTATTTGAAGAGCAGAAGGATGTGCATCCCCCATTCCTCCTTCACCCAATTTATTGAGAAAAGATTTTTTTTACGTGCTTTTGATTAAGTGCGGAAATTGACTTCATGTTGAACATGTGTGAAAATCATTTAATTTAATTCTTTGAAAAAAGTTTTAGTTTGATGGTGAAAACATTATGATTTTAGTTAATTTCTTTTATAATTTTTAGACAAAATAAAAGAACCATAGAATTAAAAAAAATGAAATAAAATAAAAAGTAGTCAGGGTGTGAAGCCCAACTTAAGTAATAAAAATAAAAATAAAATAAAGAAACAGGGAGTGTTAAGCTGAACAAGGGGGTAGCGCCCAACATTGGGCCCAAAAGTACCAAACACCCTTTCTACACCACAAGAGGTCTAATCTTCAAATAGGGAGGCATGAAGAGAGTGAAAGGGCCCAAGTGGCCCATGAGACCAGAAACTGAATACCAAAGAGAGATGGAAATGGGTGTCGCTCCTTATTTCATTTTCTTAAAGTCTTCCCTCAACTCTCTCCTCTTTTTTTCAGAAAAAACAAAAGCATCAGAACATCCTCCATACTCTCTCATTCTCACATGGAAACAATCTTAACTTCTCATCTCTTTCCCTCTCGGATTTTTTCCTAACAACAAGAACATAAATAAAACCAATACAAACTTTGTACACAAATCAAAATCTGGAAAACTCATGAATCATGAAGAACTTAAGAACCCTAGGACTGTGATTTGTCTATGTTTACATAAATTAGGGTGAATAAAATACACCAACCATGGGAGGAACATCATAATCATGTGCATAAACAAATATCCATGTGGAAAACATGGAAGAAAAAAAACAAGAAAAAAAAACCAAATAGAACTTTGGAATTCTCCAGATTCATGAACTCGATGAGTTTTCTAACGGACCTATGAAGTTTCTGGCCGGATTATGTAGTTTGCAGCAAGGTATTCCCAGATTTCGATGACCTTCAAATTTCTCCGACAATTCAACCAGATAATCATATTTTCTATCTCTTTTCTTAATGTTTCCAATTCTTTTCTCATTTTCTCTTTTCTGAGTCATCCTAATTCATCTCAATTCTCTCATTTTCTGTTGCTATTTATGATTTTGGACTAGCAGTGAGAGTGAACAAAAAGGGGAAGTGATGGTGATGTGATGCTAGCTTAAGCTTATGATGATGATGGAGGCAGAGCTTGAAGCTCCATGGTGGAGAAGTTGATACTCAAATGGTGACTTGATGGTAGCAAGGTTTTAGTGAGATTCATGTGTGATGGTGTATTGATTATGGGTCTGAATTTGTGCAATTGGTGGCTGCCCAATCTTCTCATTTCTCTTAGGATTTATAGTGGTAAATTAGGTTTAAATTCAAGTGTGCAAAAGTGTAAATTGTGTGAGAACTTTTTGAAAAATGAGGGAAAATTGATTGAGATGAGTGATGAAAGAGTGTGTAATTTGTGTGAAGTTCAAAATGAGTGAGAACTTTGTGAAGTTTGTTAGAATTTTGTGATATTTTCATGTATGCATGGATGAATGTTAAGATGTTATGATAATTGTAAAATATGTAAGTTGTTACGTGAGATTTGTAAAAGAGGTTATGAGTATGTAGCATGTGTTACGTTGTATGGACATGGTGAGAAATGAATAAAGTAAGATTGTGGTACTTTTACTTTTTGTCTTATTATGCATGATATATGGTGTAACATGAATGTTAGTGTAATGAAAAATGTATAGGTAAAAAGAAGATATTTAAAATTTTTCCTCTTATGATGAATTGAAAATGGATGCATGATATTGCATTTGATAGTCATGGAAAGAAAATATCCTCTTCTTTTTTGTTTTTAGTGTAAAAAGAATGATTTTGTAACTTGATGAAAAACACAAAATGGAATAATTACATGATGCAAAAATGAAACCAAATACTTTGTAGAAACTTTCCTTTGACTTATGTTGACTTTAAAAAAAAAGATGCAAAAATGTAAGTGTATATGATGGAATAAGTTTGAAATAGACATTGGATTTTTGTATAACATGATAATGTATATGAATGAACAAAACTATAATGCAATAAAAAAGCTTGGTATTAAATCTGGCTTTTAATTGAACTAATGCATGAATGATTGATCAATGATGCAAACGTTTTGATGGATGAATGAAATAACTTTTGGCAAAATTAGGATATGACATTTATCCCTCATTATTTTCTATATTTCTTTAATTATGTATAAAAAAATATAAAATTTTGAATAAAATAGTTTTAATAAATGATCAAATTGAAATAAAACATGATTAAATTAAAAGTTAGTATTCATTTTATGTAGAGTATAGTAAGTTTAATTCTTTGATTGCCAAAAAAGACATAATTATAAATAAAATAGTATAAATGATTGCTAATACCGAAAGAAAGAAGTCACACCAAAAGTTGGTTGGTTGAAGTCACATCATAAAAATTTATTGGAACCAGGGTGTTTAAGGGTGCGGGTCTATCCGCGAATTTGTCGATCTAAACTAAACTAATAAATTATTCGAATCCACTTGTTTACGAATAAACACAATCCAACCCACAATAATCCATATAATTTTGAATCTGATATCGAATTTGAAATTTGAAATTTGTGAATTCGTTAATTTGATATTAGTGATTCTTTTTTATTATTTAAAATGAAAAATAAAATTAATATATCACTACAAACAACAAATTTGTCGTATTACTTTTATTCATAACCAATACTACAAGTAGACCAGTGATTTTTCAGAATTTTAAAATTAATTGTTGCTTCTTATTTTCTTTTGTATCATCTTTAACTTATGTATTTTATGTATTGTTTTCTTAATTTTATATAATGCAAAAAAAAAGTTATAGACTATTAACTCTTTTAAAACTTGTATAATATTAAGAAAATTTCTCCCCAAAAATAAATGATTTTAAAACTAGAAAAGGAGATAAATAATCTTAATCGCGCTTGGATATTCCCTTAAGGAAGTGCATATATCGCTAGTTGATGAGCGTTATAATATTTCAGACACTTTAGTTGAAAAGATAGCTAAAATAGAGTGTGTTACTTGTCCATATTTAAAACTTGAAATTGAAACTCTCAAAGGACAACTAACTTATGCTACTTCACTATCTTGTACTTGTTCTAGCTCTTCAAGTGAAAGAGAAACAATTTTCAAGAAAAAAGGTCACTAGGAGAAATAGAACAAAACATTTCATCTTAAGCTATTTGTTATTATTATGGTCATGAAGGTCATATTATGCCTATTGCGGTGACAATCAGATATCAAGCTATTAATTAAATTGAACCATAAATTTTTAAATTCACCACCGAGCTTTGACTTATCCAAAGGAAAGGGTAAAGATCGAAGAAATCCCTAAGTGCGCTATGTAACAATAAAGCTAGATATCTAAAGTTCGAGGGTTGGTTATACCTAGGGAAGGTGCTAGCATCCTAAGTATTTGTAGTATTCTACAGGAAACTCTTCTTAGTATTTGTGTTATGCTAAAGTTTGCTTGCTAAGGAAAAAAGTGCTAAGGTAAAGACGTAGGGTATATAGAAAGTATGCTCGCCAAGACATTGCATCTCGTGCCTATGTATCCTAACTAGGATGGAATCAGAATATTCGTAGTTCACCTAACTAGGGGTGGTTAGTTGTTAGTGAGCTCGCCAAGGATAGGGATCCTTGTGCCTACGTACCATTATTAGGGAATGAGGAATCAGAGTGTCGTAGTTCACCCAACTAGGGGTGGTTAGTTGTTAGTATGCTCGCCAAGGATGGGGATCCTTGTGCCTGCGTACCCTCATTAGGGAATGAGGAATCAGAGCGTCCGCAGTTCACCTAACT